TCATGGAGCTTTGAACACGGTTTTATCAAGATCCACACTCCCCATGCGGAGAAGATTGCAAAGTCCTTCCTAGTTCAAATGTCTACGAAACACCGAAACAACAAGTTGCAGATCCGGGAAACGGCGATGCCGAGCAGATCTCAGCTTCAGTGGTGAAGTGGATGCACCCGTGGGAGCGACAAGTCTTGCGATTGAAAGGGATTGGCCGCATGTGAGATTGGGCACAGCCTGGGGGGTAATGACGATCGTCGTTGGGTTGTGTTGCGGTTCTGGTTAGTGTGAGGGCATCACCATCACCAAAACCAAAACCAAGATCAAACAAGGGATGGACCCTTCTGGTGGCGCCCGTTTACGTCATTTGGTGGGGAGGATGCGTTCGAAAACTGGCTGCAAGCAGCTGAGCTGGGGTCCAGTGTTCTTTGGGATCAAGATAGGTAGGTACTTACTAGTACTTACAGAAGCTAGAGCCAGTCCAGGCACTAGAGATAGATAGGGGGAGATTAGTGATCCCAGTTCATGTCGCTAAAGTAGATGCAAGTACCGCTAATAAGCCCATTCGGTGTAAGTGCCATGAGCTCTCTTGGCGTGCGACTAGATGGAACTCAATGCCCCCCTTCTCCAAGCCCATCAACTGCATCATCCATTCATAATAACAAACATCACGACCAGTATCACTAACACAATCTACATCTGGCGCCTCGAAGATTTGACCGTGCTCTATGCCTATCTTTGGCACTTGTTGACTCAGTTGATTCCGACTACGCTCACTCTTTCTCTTCTTTAGGAACCTTACAAGCTCCTCACTCAGACCGAGGCTTAACAGTAAGTTAGTACCTATCTCCAGCAGTCTCCTTCATTATTTACTTCATCTGCATCTGCAACAACGGACTGGAAGACTCCTCCATTATGGAACATATATCTCCTTTGATCTTCAGTCTATTTCTATTACCCGCTGATTCTCAAACCTCCACTCCACAGTTTTCGTTCAAGCTCCTCCAAACAGAAGAAGTGACAGAGCCAAGGTACGCACGTCGTCGATTCACCATCATCATTGTCTCAGAAAGTTCCTCCACTGCGACGTGCAAAGGAGACGCTAGTCTCACGCTTTGAACCTCAGACCTCCAATCTAGTGCTAGCGGCAATCTGCCAGCAGTGAGGTTGTACGCCCATTGCGTCAACACCATCATCCCGCGAGCTCTACACCCTGATTTTTTTGGTTCTGCTTGGGCTGCCTGCACAAGCTCGCCCAGCAACCGGCTCAATCCAGCCCAACCCGATTGGAACCCCTCCACTCAGTGCCGTTACTGACTTTCTAGGCTCTAGGATCTAGGCTCTTCTCCCCTTCCGTCTCGGATCCGTCCCCCATCTGCTCGTGGTCCATTCCGTCGTTTCTGTTTCTCTCGGTTGGTCCTTGCTTGCTCTAGCTCAGGTTGTTAATAAACTACGGTACTCGGCTTGCGTAGTACTGTAGGAGAAATAACAACGCCACCTCCGCCATGGATCTACCTCCTTCTCACTCTCATCAATCTCAGCCTTCGTCATTTCCCCAACAGGCGTCTTATCCATACTCGTACGGTCACGATTCTTCTCTAGAATCATCCTCAGCTTCCCACCAGCGTGCAACTGCTGCCAATACCACCGCCAACGCACACACACAATCACATTCTCAGCACGACGATACCTACGATCTGTCAAATTCGATTCACGCGCCGCAACCGCTATCGCAACAAGGAGGTCGTTTCACCGAGGAATGGGGTGCAGCACCGCGCGGGCCTTCAGTCCTCCTTGATTATCCTTCACCAAGCGCAAACATGCAGCGCAGCAATTCGGTGCATAGCTTCGTGACTGGTGATGACCAGCAGCTCCCGGCTCGTCAGAACACGCTCAAGAAGAAGAGCTCTGTCCGCCGAAATGGGAGTCTCAAGCGTAGTAGTAGCCGTCGCTCTATGAGAGCTGGCAGCGTTAAGAGTCTTGCCTTACAATCTTCATCAGACCATGATGAGGCGCATAGTGCTTTCTATTGCCCAGTCCCTACGTCGGGCAACCCTACCGAGACACTCTCGAACCGATTCCAGAACTGGAGAAAGGTCCTCAAGGATCTGATCGCATACTTTCGCGAAATTCAAAATCATTATGAACAACGCTCCAAGTCGCTCCTCAAACTCGCCAATGTGGCCAACAATATCACTACCCCACCCGGTTTTCTTCAGTCAGCTGGAATAGATGATGCGCTCCAATTCTTACGAATTTACAACAAGAATGCTATCCTCGAGGCCAATAAGGCCAAAGAAATTGAAGAGGATGTTATTCTTGCACTCACTGGATTGAGGAGCGACCTCCAACAGAAGATTAAGGAGATCAAGAACCTTTCAGGTGACTTCAAGAACTCAGTCGAGAAGGAGATGGACCATACTCGCAAAGCTGTCAAGACGCTCAGCGATATTCTTGGCAGAAATGAGTTGGATGAATCTTCAACCACTGGCAAGCAAGATCCATACCTACTGCGCCTGGCTGTCGACCGTCAAGTTGAGCGTCAGTTGGACGAGGAGAACTATCTCCACCAAGCTTATCTCAACCTGGAGAATTCCGGACGAGAGCTGGAAGCGATTGTTGTTGGAGAGATTCAGAAAGCCTACAACGCTTATGCTGGCATTCTTAAGCGGGAGGCTGACAATTCCTATAACGTCGTCGGCGAGCTTCGAGATGGCCCTATTGCCATGCCCAAGGACCACGAATGGATGCATTTTGTGACTCACGATGACAAGTTCGTTGACCCAAGCATTCCGCTCAGGACGCCGGACCAGATTCATTACCCCGGACAGGACCATGAGGCAGCCCAGGAGATTCGAGCCGGATTGTTGGAGCGCAAGAGCAAATACTTGAAGAGCTACACAGCCGGCTGGTAAGCATTCGTTGTCAAAACGTCGTGATCAGAGAAATTAACCAAGTTGCTAGGTATGTACTTTCCGCTACGCATCTCCACGAATTCAAGTCAGCGGACAAGGCGCAAGCCCCTATCATGTCTCTTTATCTTCCAGAACAGAAAGTAGGATCCCACTCCAACGAAGGAGGCTCTTCGAACAAGTTCATCCTTAAGGGTCGCCAAACTGGCGGCATGCACCGCGGACACACTTGGGTCTTCCGTGCCGAAAGTCATGACACTATGATGGCTTGGTACGAGGACATCAAGGCTCTCACCGAGAAGACTGCCGAGGAGCGAAGTCAGTTTGTTCGAAGCCATTCTAGAAGCCTTAGCCGATCATCCCGACGATCAGTTAGTAGCGATGGACTGGTCGACGAGGAGGACGAGGAACCCTTCACGGCCGATACTGAATCATTTACCAATCCGGGACCAAGACAATATGAGGCAACTCCCCGGCGATCTCAAGCAGGTGGGCGGTTCCCATCTGATATCCAAGTCAATGCGCAACGTGGCTTACAGGCCCCTCATTCGCCTTCTAGTGTAAGCTCTGGCTTCCAGGACAACAGGGACCCCGCTGTACCACCGATCGTCACGGGTGCCCTTTCTGGTCCGGCCGCTGGAGAATCGGAGCAGGGCAGGGACGACCATCCGGGCTATGGGACTGTTCACCAGACGCCCATGGATGAGATGCCCTCGCATGCTGCAATCGCAAGCCAAAAGGCCCATTACGACGGTGTTAACCCTTATACGAGCGAGCCAGTCAATCAGACTCCCGTTGAGCCGGTCCCCCTCCACCAACAACAGCAACAGCTATACCAGTCACAGTATGAATCGCAGCAGCCTGTGCAGCTGTCAGACTACGTCGATCAACACCAAGACCAAACCTTTGTTCCTGTTGTGATCCCCCAGGGTAAGGATGAGCGCGATGGTAATTTTGCCAATAGTGAACAACGCCACTTTGATGAGCAGCCTAACAATCATACTATTGAGCCACGAGAGGAGCCATATGGTGGATATACAATCAGTGGAGCTAGCCATGAGGCATCGAGCTATGAGCAGCCTTCATATCCTCAGGCGTCATATGACAATCAGCCCAATCACAGCTATGCCAATGGCGATGCTAAGGGCAATAGTTACACAATGACAACTGTGGGAGAGGGCTTTCCTAGACTTGATGGTGGAGCAACTGAAGAGCGACGACCATCGACTCGAGGAGGCGAATCAGTCTATACCGAGCGTGACTCTGTCCTTCTCCAGACAGACGATGAAGATGAGAAGCCAGTCCCAATCCGGCCATCCGGTAACAACCGGACTGAGAGTCATAACACCATCTCAAACCTGCATATTCCCGGCGGTTACCCCAAGAGTACTCAAGCATAGGATGGGGCATCAGTATCTGAGTTTTTCCCACATTGTGTGCCCTTTTTTGTTTTCCTTATTGTTATTTTTACTTTGCTGTGATGGAGAGAATTGATTTGGGAGGATGGTACAGCGTTGGCTGACGAGAGGCGTTGATCAAATGTGTTGATGGGACGGTTACAGTACGGTTTGAAATGGATTATCGCTCGTTTGGCTTTGGCTTGGTTTCGCAAAATATTTACTTGGATCGGTGTGATGAGATATCTTAGTCTGTTTCAATTGATTGAAAAGTTCAACGCGTATCATGAGTTTCCAGTGACTTGAAGCTAACGAGACCATGCATCACTGGTCAAAAAAGATGTTCATTTACAGCCCCCAGCGTCTCTAAGTTTGTTCTATCAATTATGCCATCTGACGTTCATCCTAAGGTTGGTACACGATATCGGTAGGATGGTTTTTCCGTCTCCTGTTGCATCAGCCAATCGGGCCGCTCTAAGCTAGCTCCCGCAAACCTTCGGTGGACACTCTTTGCAAAATTTCACACGGCAAAAAAAAAGTTCAGCATTCGACCTTACGCGGAAACGATTCCAAGGCCCGAACGAACGACCAAATCCTCAGCTACGGGCATCAACCGAAACAGAATCGAACGAGCAGCCGAATCGCGAAATTCTCATCTCTTGAATTTATATCAATTGGCGACAGCGCAAACTCGATAATCATGTCTTTCCGTGGAGGTTCGCGCGGACGCGGCGGTAGTGGATTTGGAGGCCGTGGCGGTGGTACGTCTTTATTTCTTCGTCGCGCGATTAATTTTGGGGGAACTGGCTCTCGGCGGTGCAAGAGACGTCGGAACCATGCGAATTGGGGCTGTTCTGGGAGTGATTGGCTCTAATAGCGGTGTTTTGCGTGGATTCAAGATCAACTACTAACGACCTGTTTCCAGGCCGCGGTGGCTTCCAACAACGAGATATGGGCCCTCCTGCTCAGATCCTTGGTATGTATATCATCGTGCTCTATCCGGAATCCCATAACTAACACTCTCAGAAATGGGCAAGTTCATGCACGCTTGCGAGGGCGAGATGGTCTGCGAGTCCATCAACCCCAAGGTCCCTCACTTCAACGCCCAGATCTTCCTCGAGAACAAGACTGCCGTCGGAAAGGTCGACGAGGTCCTCGGCCCCATCAACCAGGTGTTCTTCACCATCAAACCCACAGAGGGTATCCAGGCCACCTCTTTCAAGGAGGGCGACAAGTTCTACATCGGCTCAGAGAAGCTTCTGCCCCTCGACAAGTTCCTCCCCAAGCCTAAGCCCCCGCCTGGAGCTCCCAAGCTCAAGCGCGCCGGTGGCGGTCGCGGTGGTGCCCGCGGTGGACGTGGCGGCTTCGGTGCCCGAGGCGGTGGCCGTGGTGGTTTCGGCGGCGGCGGCCGTGGAGGTCCTCGAGGTGGTGCTCGTGGTGGTTTCGGTGGCCGCGGAGGTGGCCGTGGCGGCAGCGGTGGTTTCTCACGAGGTGGAAGCGGCTTCGGTGGTGGTCGCGGACGCGGTGGCTTCAGCCGCGGTGGCCGATAATCTCCTTGCCACAACGGCGGCTGCGGATCACTTCTGTTATTAGGGAGGACTAAGCGACTACGCGACCCACGAGAGCTGCTTAAAGGAAATGGGGATCGAAAATCATGGAATCTAGGAGGAGGGAAAGAAAGAAGAAAGAAGGGATTGACATGTATTTCTCTGGCGTTGGACGGTATCTGATTTTCCAAAGTGCTTTGCTTGGTTTGGCTTTCCCACATGGCTCTATATCCCAAATCCCGCGATCGCCATGCTCGTATGATACGGCATCGGATTGGAGTTTGTATGTACAAACACAAGAGGATTCAACGAAGAAGACGAGAGAAACCGAAATGAACGGGCAACCTTTTAAACTTAACTCATGTCGTTGTTGTGAAATGTGTATATTTTCATTAGACTGTATCTCCTGTCCACGCCCACGGGGTATATATAAGGCTCAAAGTCTATAAGCTCTTGAACGCCATGCAAACAACCGAAATCACTCCCCTCGGTGTCTGAGTAACGCCGCGCACAACAGGCCAAGGGCCAAGATAAAGGCCAGCCCTCCTAGTCCTAGACCAAAGTAATGCGCATCTCGATATCCTCCAAAGGGGTCCTTGTCACCGCTCTTGCCCATTTCCACAGCTCCAGCCATACCCAGCCCTACTGAAAAGGCGAAAGCTGCTGCTGTATTAGTGATGCTGTTTGCGAGCCCCAGTTGTCCCTCTGGCACATCTCGTCCGAGCACAGTCGAGGAAGCGGGAACAATCAACACCATGCCAACTCCCATGAAGATGGCGCTGACAAACGAGTTGGCCCAATATGTTTGCTGGGCTGGGGCTGACGCCAGGAGAGCCGAACTAATCAGAATGGCGATTGATGAGACCACCATGCTCAACTGTGCAGTAAAATCGCGGTTTGCTAAGGGCCAGCATCCAAAGGCGATGATAACACCAACCACTAGAACTGGCATAAGAGCAACACTCGTGAGAAGGGGACCCCAACCTCTGACAACTTCGATGAATTGTACGAAATACCATGCCCAGACTCCAAATGCTGCTGATGCAGTTGTCACGAAGCCAAGTGTAATACCAGCAGCCAGCTGAATCTGCTTAAATGGCACTAACGGGTGACTGGCCTGTGATTCGAAGAAAGTGAATAGTGGAATAAGTATGATGCCTGCAATGATCAAGATGTACGCCTGGGGAGTATCCCATCCCACAATGGGCGCCTGGTTCCAACCAACGCTGAAAAGGATCAAGGCAGCGATTCCAAACGCGAAACCCAATATATCTAACCGCTTCCACAGGTTGCCTTCGAAATTGTAGACCAAGATTCTCTTTGCTGGGATGACAAGTACGCTTGAAATACCTAGGGCTGTACATACCGCGGCCATGCTGTAAAAGGCCCATGGCCACGAGGCGTAATTAGCAAACAAGCCCGTCATGACCGATCCAATGACAAATCCGAAAGGGACAGAGGCATCGAAAAATCCCATCACAAGCATCTTGCGAGGCCCAGGAGGATAAGCCCTCACCAGCATTCCGTGTCCATTTGGGATAACGAATGCAGGGCCGATGCCTTGCATAGCTCGACAGAAGCAGAAGAAGATGGCTCCTCCATTGTCACTCGTCTGCACATACACACTGAGACCAGCAAGCAGACTCCAAAGGGCGAACCAAATATATCCAGCGATAAAGGCATATCTTTGACCGCAGACGTTCCCGATCCGGTTGCCAAAAAGAGTGGTCGCGCCATAACTCAGTGCAAACGCTGATGTGAACCAAGCAAGGTGTGTTGTACGCTCTGGTTCGAAGAATGATTCTCCAATTCGTCGGGCAGATGTCAGTGTCTGTGCAAGACTGGCATATGTCAGAACCTGTGCCATACATATGACGGCAACAAAAAGGCTTTCGTTGGTAGCATGGTTGAACTCGATCATCCTGGCCCCCTCGTTCAGAGGTTTCCTTCGCAAACCTTGATTTGCGGGTGAGGAAGGGTCTGTGTCGGATCCCGCACGAATGTGGGTGACCGTACCTAGTGGGAGAGATCGTGTACCCATGTCCGGCCTCAGAGCTATGTATTGGTGATGCTGTGTGGTTCCTCGGAAGGCTTCAAAGCGTCTGGCAGCTTGGACAAGTCCACCATGGTTGACCGAAAAGTCTGATGGCGTTGGGCCTGTAGGAACAACAGGAGTTTCATTTGGGCGAGGCTCGGCCAGGTTTACTGGAACGCTAAATCGTGGAGGTGGTGTATGAGGTGTATCTAATCGTGGTGGTAAGTTTGGTGTTGCCAGTCGAATCATGCCTTCGGGGACTTGTGCTGGAGTCTCAACCATTTCCGATTCCATTTCACGGTCAAGGAGAGAATCTGTCTCGACATTTGGAGATCGTCCTGGCATAATTGATGTATGTATATAGTTGCCTCGACGCGGTGAAACGGGTGAAACCGTCATCTCTGATACACTCATCTGGCTCACTACATCCATGTCTAGCAAATTCACATTCTGGGATATTTCGCTGACGCTTGAAGGACTTCGGGCATGAGAATGCGAGTATAGCTGAGAATTGGAACGAGAGTGAGAGTAATCTCCAGGCTGAGAGTGAGAATTGAAGTTTGTGTAAGTTGGAGCTGGTGCTGCTGGAGAGTAACCACCATATTGTTGTTGATAATGATGGCGAAAAGATTCCGTGACGGCGATCATGGTATCAGCGGCATGTTGAACGGCAGAGTTAGATCGATTTATTTCTCGACGGGCCTCAGACTTTTCAGAGTCTTGTCGTGATACGTTCCGAAGCGGCTCCATCGTGAAGTTGGTGATAAGTCAGCAACGCCAGGGTTAGCAATAGTCGCCCCTCATGTCCTCGTTTGTAGATGTTATTAGTCAATAAAGCAGACGATCAAGGCTGCGGAACCATCATAACTGAATCAGAAATCATAATCGAAGAGAATCAGAAATCAAGCAATCGAGACATAGTCAGGGACGCTTGGGGGTTTTAGTCAACGGGAAAGGCTGCGCTTACAGCTTACAAGGAGGGTAATAACCCATGCCTCAAGCTGTAAGTAGGCAGGTAGGCATGTCGACTCATCATAGGATGGAAGCTCATCCATACCGCTCCGTAAGCCTTCAGGGCTGACTCGCCCCCGCAACTAAGCTTAGCTTTTAAGGCTCAGACTCTGGTTCAGGGTCCGGAGGTTTAGGACCTGACACTTCCATGTCTTGGCCCAACCGTTAGTTTTTGAACCGAGATGAGGGTGGGTAGTGTAGTGTATGTATGGTTAAGCCAGAAATAGAATCATCGATCTTGCAAGTCGTCACAAGCTGTAGGAGAAAGAGACTTTCGCCTCTGTGAGAATTCTTGTTGGTAGTGATCTGCTTGTCTTGATAATTAGTCCCCCTTTTGGTAATATCGTCTGACTTGCATCACAAGGTTCTGCATTCACACTGAACAAAGCTCAACTGGAGCGGGGAAGAGAGAGAGAGAGACTGGACAGTTCAGAAAGTCAGTGATGCATTGACACAAGCGGCGGTTACAGGGGTTCACGTAAGAGTCTGGTTGGTCTATCGATCACGATCTTGTTGGTGATGATAGAGAAATGAAAATAGTGGTGTTGGTGATATAGTAGTGGAAGGCACCTCTGATCAAAGCGGCTACGACCAACCCTACCTACCTACCTAGCCAATACAGCAAGAGGCAGGTGTACCACTCCTGCTGTCCCCAGATCGCCTGCATCCGCCAATGGCTACCTACCTACCTAATGATCATCAAAATTATTCTCCCTCTTGTTCCCTCAGTACAGTGTTAACAGCATCATAGGTATCATCATCGGTGTAACCAAACCCCCAATTGGGTGGTATTCCTCTCATGTCCCGAGGATCTAATCCCCCATCCTTGTTTATCATCAACAGCACAGCCACCCGTCACTTTCTGGAGCCTGTCTAGCCTGTTAGTCCTAGCCTAGGATCCTTCAACAGCACAGCCTCAACGTATCACAACCCATGTCCCACCCTTAGCACGTTCTTTGGGTCTTGATCTTCTAGCTTCAGCGCCTCTGACAGCATGTTTCAGATAGAGATGGTGTTAATTCGTCTGTATCAAGTTGGTGAAGACTCAAACTTGCAATTATTCTGGTCTTTTTGTGAGACAATTTATGTGATTTTCTCAATTGCCTCCACTTCATCAAGATCTTCTCCACAGTCTCGTCCTCCCAGTTCTATCCAGGACCAGGAATTCGGCAACCAAGCCTCATCATGCTTTGTCGTTCCACTCACCGCAGAGCCTCAGATTGTGCGTAGGCATCACGTATGTCTCTATTTTTGGTCAGACTCAGCTTCCCATGGCTACTCATTACGTCTAGAAACAGAGAGCCTGCAAGCACATCCAAGCTTTCCTTGAACCTTGTACCGGTTGATACTTGGAAACGATCAACAGGAGATATGAATTAATGGTCTAAGCTCAGATCCTCTTGAATTCCATAAATCCACTCACTTAAGCGAGATTCACTGCTTCCAAGTCTCCAACGACAGAGAGCGGCCTGTAGCAGGCACTCTGTTTCTTCATCATGACATAAAGCTCATCGTTGAGAGCCATGCTTCCGCATCACTACCAATTCGCCGTCACATCTTTATCACTATGCAATGTGACATCAAGCCTGTCACGTCACACGAGCAGATGATAATGGATACTATCGAGTAGCTCGATATGGCCATGTACTTCGCGTCTATCCACAATGCTGTACTTATGAGGAGACCGATTCAAAGTTGGCACATAAAATCCAAGCAGCAAGATAAGGAATGTATGGGTATCATGAACTACCATTGTTTCAATAAGCTGCGTGAATCATGTCCTGTCCAAACCCCCAACCCCCAAATGAAAATGTCTTCGACCATGTGCGCTGAACCCCTTTTGTCCCTGATGTTTGTCCTTGCGAACTTCCTGTTGAACCCCCTGCTTGATCCCGCGATACCTTCAGTGATGGCAAACGTATGCTCAGATCCAGGGCTAAATGACCTCTACCCCACCCAACTTTTCAGTGCAACTACACCAAACCAACGTACCATGTTAAATAGTAATATCGGATGTGGTTTAAGGCTTAGGTATGCGGATGGTCTTGCTGGTCATGAGGCAACCGTGAATCATGAACAGAATTACGGCAGGATGGAACTCGAAAACCGAACCCTGGAACCAAATACCAAAGGGGAGATTGTCGTGAACCCAGCGCTGCGAGAGCCAATAGGCCATGATAGCGTCCATGCCGAGCGAAGTGGGAATGGGAGTTCCTTCGAAATACTGGCTCTTGCCAGAGGCGTCCTTTGGGAGAACCGAAACGGTAACATTGAAGCGGGCGAGGCGAGTGAGGCCACACAGAACGAAGAAGGTAAGGCCAACGGTGTCGGCGAGCGAACGGAAACCAAGAGTGAAGGCGACCATGGCGGGAGCGACGCCGAAGGAGATCTGAACAGGATTACTATCAGTGACCATAATAAGTGACAATGCGTGCATTAAGACATACCAAATCAGCAAGAGAATCCAATTCTTGGCCCATGAGACTACTCTTCTTTCTCCACCGAGCAACCTTGCCGTCGAAAAAGTCAAAGAACAGACCGAAAGGTAGGAAGAAGAGAGCAAGCCAGAGGTTGTCAAAATCCTTGGGGTCGCCAAGTGCGTATCGTAGCGAGGAGAAGATGGACATAACACCGCAAGCACCTGTGATGACGTCAGGGTTAGCAAACCATGTATTTTTTGTGAAGAACGAAGCATGTCAAAGGTGGCGGTCTCCGTAGTCAAGGTGTACATACCGTTCATGAGAGTAATCAAGTCGGCAAGGTGCATGGCCCGCACGAGAGAGAAGTGCCCAACATCAGCAGATAGAAGAGTCTTTTGCTTGTCAATTGCTATAAGGAAGGTCAATGTCGGTTCTGGAAAGCCAAACTCGCTTAATTGCTTCATCCTTGGCTAAAGCTTACCTGGGCTGTTGGAGGATGTGACGTCCTTGGGGATGTTTCCATTGGAGCCCGACATGGTGTTGCCCCTTCTAGACATTCTACGACGATTCCAAAGGCTCTTGTTTAATGTGAAGCTTGATGGAGTCGGACGGTGCGAGAGGTTGACCTCAGCAGTGTTCTGTACAATAATCCACGAGACGGGACAATCGTAATGAGCTTCACGGGGGCAGGAAGCGGTGTCGATGGATGCGAAAAGAGAATATTCAAAGCAACCAAGAACACTAGCAATGCGAAGTTGAGTGGTCTTTCACGGTGCAGAACTTATTGTGTTTCTGGTGGTTGTGTGAAGTTGCGGAAGGGAAAAGAGAGCAGGTTTTCCACAAGTGGTTGACGTTGACGTTGAGGACGTCGCGTTTGCTGCTTTCGCCGCGGAACGTCCTGCTTTCCTTGCTTGGGGTGGATGCCGTCATTGTGGGCGCTAGTGCTGGCCAGCTGCACGTGATGGCAATGGCTTAGACTCTCAACCGTTCCTGACAAGTCACCAGCCATCAGCAGCTCGTCACACGGAAAGGTCAAGGCGGGTGTTCATGGTCACATTCGCATCTACATTGGATCTTTGTAAATCTATATCTTACCTTAGTACTTGCATACGGTGTACGTCAGAATGGTACAGGATCTCAAATGTCACCAAGCTGATCAACAGCTCAACAAATTCTGCGTTAGAGCATCACATGTCAGATTCGTATCGTATTCGCACAAGCTCGCTCACCGTCAGAACATTAAGCGAAGTTAGATGAAACTAGAGTTAGTACATACACACGCGCGCGCACACACAAATGTTCTGGACACATGCAGAGAACGGTCGAAATGAGCACAGCGATAAAGACTTCAGGATCAGGCATCCCCAGCGGTGTTTATTCAGGTCCGCGTCTGCTCATGGTATACTGTGTGTGCGTTACCCCTTAACTTGATATGCAAGCGTGTATGTATGTATGTAAAGTGCGTAGCCTCCTTTCAGAGGCGGTAAACAAAAGAAAACTACCTCAACGCCGGTATCAGATAAAAGTCCCGAACAGTGTTTGCGGTATTTGCCTGGCCGCTGTAAGACAGGTTGGGCGTGTCATGATACGCAAATGAGTGTGCGTGTCTCTCCCATGCTTCATAATTAAAAATTAATATTTGTCCATAGACGGCTGATTGTTATCCTGTAGAATGAGTGTGCAAAAATCTGGATATCGAGTGGTTTTGCTCCTGCTCACCGCGTGATGAGAACCGAGAAGCCATCTAACCATTGGCCACAGGAGCCAGAAACACCACAGATGATGTATCCTCGAGGAGGTATCAAAGTGTGCCTAGAGACTAGGGTAAGCTGAGTTCGTGGCGACACAAGAATAAAACTTACGCATCTCCTCCATGAGCATTTCCATAAACGGGCGACTTGCGACCCAAACTCGTCAGAATTTGTAGACCATCGATCCAAAAACCAGATCGCACGACGAAGCCACTGATGTACTCGCCACGACGAACATCTAGGTCTCCTATTAGATTCCTGTCGGTCCATCAATGAGTTAGAACTTACCAAACTCGAAAGTATCCCCCCCTTCTTTGCCGCCCTTCTTTCCAAACAACTGCCTGGAATCATCATCATAAATGAATTCCATTCCGTCCACGGCCATACCGTGATAAATCACTACACGGGATAGAACTCGGTCCTGCTTGACAGCACTCGTAAAGATGGCTTCCGTAGGCTGGCTTCCATCCATCTTAGAGCTACCCAGCTTCTGGCTTCGGAAAGCACTCTTCCCGTTCAATAGCTTAATGAGAGATTCCTTGGAGGTAAACTTTTTGTAATCGTCAATCTCAAGTGATCCCCCCCCGTAAGACTTGACTGATATTTTGAGAGACCCCTTTCTTTTCTTCTCAGACAGTCTGCCTCGCAGCTCGCTCTCGGTGAGCGTGATTTGCCGGGAGGGCGTCCCTTGGTCAGTGGGATACTCGATCCAAGCATGGCAGACATCATCACCGTCTGCATAAATCTCAACAAAGAAAATTCCTGTGGCCGCCATAACAAGTACGTTGCCATTTTCGACAGGGAAGGCTTGAACACTACCGTCAGGGCTCATCGGGGGATCGTTGGGAAGGCGGAAAGACGGATGAGCTCGGAAACGCAAACAGTCGAGACGGTGCCATCCACATTCATCGGCCTGGAGTGCAAGACCACCTTTGGACTTGGTCCTTGTACAATAGGCCTCTCGAGCTACGAATGTGCGATTGAGCACCACGTAATCTCGCAGCATTACACCACTCTCCTGGTGGGGGCATCCGAATAGATGGCCTGTCTCATGCATATGAGCGCCAATACCGATATTTGCAGCCTCCCAAGAACTGCCCGCTTCGTTGCAGTCATTAGCCACATGGTTTGTATCCGTTGGAGTACAGTCAGTGAAAGCAGGCACAACCTCTTCGAAAGTGGAAGGGTAACTGTGAAGGCAGTGAGATCCAAAAATGGCCAGTTGAAGATCACCATCCCCTCCTCCGAGAGCGGCATGGCCGGTCACAGTCTTTGCTGCCGTATCCCAATGAGAATCCAAGAGAAGACAAGACACGTATAGCTTTTGCCCTGGTAGCGGGTTGAAGTATTTCCTGACGGCCTCTGAAGCGATCCCGTACAAAGCGCCCTTGTCGGTCGCCTTCTCGTTTTGCTGAGCCTTATTAAGATCCCGAATCTCAGCAAGAGTCTTGTCGGAGCGAATAATATGCACACGGGCTTCGGAGCGCATGGTGCCGTTCTCTTGGTCACGATAATTGGCCGAGCCTGTTGTCCATTCCTCATCAAAACGGAAGGCCCGTCGCCCAAGCTTGTTCCGCCACATCTGTTCCGAGGTGAAGGCCTGCCACAGGTACGCTGCCATTCTGAACTTCTTGACAGCCATTTCCAGTCCATTTCCTTCCTTTTCGACTCGGGCGGGCGAGGCATCGAATGTTTCGGGAGAGTCCTTCGCAACGAGTATCGCAAGCTGCAAAGGTGGTGAATTGGTTACGGGCAGCATATGAACAGTAAGGTAGGAAGCATGGATTGGGTTGGAACTGTTGCTGTTCGCAAGTTTCGGACTTGAGAACTCGAAGCGCAATCTGTTGGGGCCCGGTTGAAGGTACACCAGTGCCTTGAAATGCGAGTTGCAAACGGGCCAGCTGATCGCGGGGAAGTTGTCGTCGAGTCGGCAAACATTAAGGGTGCCATCGAGGGGATTCTCGGCGGCATTTCCGATTGTGCCATAAACAAGAAGAACTTTTTGATAGACCTGGTGACGGTTAGCACAACACTCCAAATAGTTCTTGAGCGAGTCATGTTGGATGGAAGTCTTGGCATAGCTTTGGTACCAATTAATTAACCCCTGACGATATGGCTTGCATCTGCATGCGCGCCACAAAGCCCACCAGCCATAGAAACAATTCAAAAGCAAAACACCAAGACATACCCATGCATTTTCGGTGATGTTGATCACTCTTGGAGCGTATGGTGACACCGGAAGGGTCTGTCTTCCATTGATAGAAGGCGCACCAAGACCCGACATTCCGGAAACACTGTTGCGGTTGGAGTTGGACGACAGCGGCGGTCGCGTAGGGACGTTGAGTTGGCTCTGGCTCTGGGACATTTGAGACTGTCGGCGCTGGAGTTGCTGCTGATCTTTTACCTGCAGATGAAGTGCAGGATCTGACTGGTGATCAATCGAAGGCGGCGTTAAGGAACCGCTCGAGGGCGATGTTGCTTGGCTTGTAGCACCATCACTGGATGTGTCGGTTGATCGATTGGTACGGAAACTGGCCCTCGATCGGCGGCGAAGGTTGTTGAGGAAGGTAGGGGCCATTGTCGCCGGCGACTAGGACCTGCCTTTTCCAAGATGTATCCAAATAAGAGTCAAAGCTGTATGTCGATTGCGTCGTGGGCAAGCGAGAGAGGGATCAAGAAACCAAGGCAAAATCGACAGAAAAGTGACCGAGGGAGAGACCGAGATTGAAGTACCCAAGAAACCCGTGGTCGACAGAGTAAGAGACGAGAGCGCTCGTATTGCAAGTCTGGAGGAACGAATGGGGTGGTAGTTTAGATGAATGAGGTGGAGTGAGATCCCGAGGGGGGGTGTAACAAGAATAGAAGCTGTGGAAGCTGTCAGTTGTCGACAGTTGACAGTTGACTTGACTTCCTCTTGGTCGACCGAAGGGAAAGGAAGGAGGAGGGAAAGGCGCAAAATTTCATTAGAGATGAGGACCTAATATGAGAGGAACGTGGTTTCTGGGAGGACCAACAGAGAAATAACAAATGAATTGAATGGAAATCCACTGTTTCGTTTCCAAGGATCTTCTTCACTGCCTTGGAAAAGATAACCCTCACTCAATTGTCCCCTTCCACCCCTGTTCAACGGAGAACGGAGAAGGATGGATATCTTATTGGGATCCTAGACACTCAACGAGTGATGACAGATGACGGAAGATGTTCTGTATGGCCGGACTGGACGAAAAGACGGCCACAACCGATCCCAAGACGTGCAAAAAGTGGCTGGTGCTGCTAATGCACTCGCCGAGAACGAGGATGCTCAAGCTTGGGCCGGGGGATCCGCTGGAATTGGTGGGTTGCAGCGATGCGATTTATTATTGCGGCCGTTGCAAGCGTGATCAACCAGATGGTGGCTTGCAGTGAGCGAAAGAGTGTTTGAATCACCCTCGGAGACATGAGACGGAAGACGGCAGTAATGGAATGAATGATATGAGAATCCATCGGGAACATTGAGACATTATACATACTCCTCCAACAGTGTCTTCCTAAGTACCTATCTCTGTTGATCAATTCAGGTCGATCCAGCAGTATCAAAATATCCCAGACTTATCCTTGTAAGGTTGTGGGCAGGCCACAGATAGGCCGAGCCTCACAGCGTGCCGTTGAAAGCGATCGTGATCTAGGTGGGCTTGAGCGAGGCCCAAGTTGCATACAACCAAAAGTTCAGTGGAGCTTGATATTGAATTCAACCAGCCGCATCCAGCGGAACTCAACCTTTGAGGTGATCCCAGGAGCTAGAGCAG